TTAAATACAATACAACTGGCATTACAGAAAAACAGTGGAATAATACCAAAGCAATGCATTGTGAACTTGATAGAAAAGCCAGTGTCCCAAGTAAGCGAGGCAGACTAGCATTTCATTACAGACAGTTCAAAACACCCATGTGGAAAAATGCTACATGAATATCAGACAGCCAGATACACCTCTGTGGTGCTTTCTTACCTACGCTGGTAGAAACATTTGAAACAAATCTGAACAAGGGACAGATCTAGCCAAAATCAAACCAAACAAAAAAAAACCCACCGAAAACAAAACATTATTTTGTCATTGGGTTTGTGCCCTGCTTACCATGGGGCTGTGCTCACTTGTTTCCTGGCACACTTGCAGGGGCCAAAGAGGGAAGGAATGAACAGCTGCCAGGGTGGTAAGGCTAGTTATGCTAGTTTTAAAAAAATATAAATAAATAAACAGTAACTTTAAAAAGCACACTGCCACCAAATTATTGTACTAGCTAATATTTGCACTCTCAAAAGAAACAGCAACTGTTCTGGGGGGCTGAATGGCACCACATGTTCTAGCCTTATTATAATATTTTTGGGAATAATGCAGAGAATTATAAACCTATGCACCCAGCACCTGTACACTGTAACACAGTTGAACCAATCACCAAAAATTGTGCAAACCCTCTCGAATAATATGAGCTAGTAGAGTTTAATTTACACACCATTTGGAAAAGAGTAACTTGCTCATCTATGCCTTCTGTAGAAGATGGGGTAGGGAAAAAGTAAAAAAAAAAAACAAAGAAACAAACAAAAAAACCAAACCAACCAACCAACCAACCAAAAAAGCAAGCTCAGAAATCTCTACCACCTTGAAGCCTAAGCTTAGCCCCAATCCTAACTACACCTCACCACCTCTATATCCCTCTCTAGAAGTAACACAAAGCTTTCAACCTGTGCTGGCACCAGCAGGGTTTTCACCCTGCCAGCACAGTTCCTGCAGAAGCTAGCTCTGAATCCAAGTGCTGTCATTTTAAACAGAACCCTGGCAAAATGCCCCACCCTGCCACAGAACTGACAAGAGGACTTCAAGTCATTCCCACCTTCAAAGAAACTATGGAACATAGGAACTGTTCCTGCCCAAAACAGCCCCCATCCCACCGAAAGGGGCTTTGCAGCATTCAGAAGCACACCAAATTTTTGTACTCCTACTGTAGAGGACAAACAAGTGACTGGGAATCTGATCCCTTTGCTGCAATCCCATAAGTATCTGGGAGGGAAGATGAGCACATGAACACACCAGAGAAATTCCACCCAGCCACCTTCTTCCTTCCATGTTTCCTCCCATCATGGTTTAGGGTCAGGACATCTCCCTTCAGAAAGTTCTTTGCTCCTTGGCAGTGACCAGGAGGAGGCAGCATACCTGGGAACAGACGTACAGGAGGCAAACAGCACACATAGGCTGGGCTGTGGTGCACACAGTATCAGCCTCTTCAGCCTGATCTTCTGAGGAGACACCTGAATTATCCAGCCCTTTCCTTCTCCCTGAGCTCAGGCAAAGCAGCCATGTCATCCAGGTGCAAGATGGACAGCTGTAACCACCCAAGCATCTCAGGGCAGCTGAGGGCAGCTCACTCTGGAAACAGCTCAAATGCAAGCAACTTAGCTGACTTAGACCACAAACTGAGATCCAACAAAGCAGGCAGAAAAATGAGAAAAATCACACTGGAAGTTAGGACTGAAGGTTCTGCCAGATAAGGTTAGGGCAAACTGTGTCAGACAGTCTTAAGAGTTTGGAGTGCATATGGGTTTTGGGAGTAATAAACTACTCTGTTCAGAACAGGACTGATACCACACAGGACTTCAGGGCAGATCATGGAGCTGGGAAACATGCACATGTGTAAGGAGAACCAAAGCATTATAGAAAAGGCATCAATCTAAAAGCAAGAGATAGAGCTTTATTTTCAAGGGTCCTTGGAAACAGAACAACGTCAATCAGCTGCAGAATTAACACTGAGATGAATGGGTCACTTCTTCTTCCCCCTCCAGCCTCTTCTAGTCTAGAAGAATATGTCAAACCCCCTTATACAGTCCAGGTCTAGTGTGGGGACTTTACATGCCCACAAACCCATTTCTTCCTGCCTTCTTGACAGCACATACTCATCTCCCACATGCTTCCCTCCTCCTGCACAACAGGACTTTCAGGCTTATCAGGGGTATGAAGTAGCCACAAGAGGAATAAATTACTGCACGTACATATTTGAGAGAAACACCAGGGAGCAGCTGCAACATGGAAGTTGTCACAGCAAAAGTTGATTCTGCCTCTCAGTATACCAATTATATCACCTCAGGCTCAATGGCACAGCTCCCAATTAACTGCAGCCAGAGTAAACAGGCACCTGACTGAAAACATCACACTGACATTGGGACAAAAGGTGAGAGTCTCATTACAATTGTTTTCTTTCTACAGCTGCCTGCAAGGCTGCAGCTCCCTATATTAGATCAACACATGACACCCTCATCGGCCTTTCAGTAGCTGTGCATGAAGATCTGAACTGATGTCTGGGTTTAATGTGTAACAGGTATTCCCTTATCGCAGATAATGAGTTTTAGAATTCACACAAGCCGTGTTTCTCAACATATTTATAAACAGTGCTCACTACCATTCTGATGTACAAACCAAAATTGTTTCATTTTCTTTCCTAAAACTAATTACAATTTTTCTTTTTTTTTTTTGATTGTAACACAACGGACTACTTTTGGGGGATCCTCAACAAACTAAATATTTGCTCCTCATTTTCTACCCTGATCACATTTATTCTTAAGTGAGAAGGATAAATCAAATACAGCAAAGGTGCCATTGCCAAAGACAGACAGAAGACTATTCGTCAGTGAGAAAAAAAGAAAAGATGCCAAACACATTACATATTCAATTTGAAATGCTGTGGGAAAAAAAAAGTCTTTAGAGCTCAAAACAACTCAGTCTGTTCCCCTGCATAATCATTTAATTGGAAGACACACAGATGTACTACAGAAAACTAGATAGGAGAAAAGGGAATAGAAAGCTAAAATGTTCTCTGTTTGTATTGTGGCTACTACAAAAAAAGTGACTGACTGGAAAATGGAAACCCCCTTCTCAGTAAACTTGCTTACATCCTATTTTCAGCCTCCTCACCTAGTTTCCCCTCTGGAAAACCCTGGCTGCAGGAGAAGTCATACAGTCTGGCATACCTAAAATGGGCAGCATATTTTCATCACCACACATCTGCTTTCACAGCACAAAGGCAACTAAAAAGCCCCAAATTTATTTCTGGAAGCCTCTGACACATCACCTCACTGTTTTGCCTCTAACCTCACATCCATGCTCAAAATTCACTGAAGGAGCAGACTGTAAGCTGTACAGCCAAGAGCAATCACCACTAGTTCACCTCCGCTCAGCCTCCCGCTGACCACCTGATGACAGGGAACTGGAACAAGGTCAGCTTGGAACTAGCAAGAGTGTGGCCCTGGAGCAGGAAATGACAGGATTTCAGTTATCACATGGACTAACAAAAATCTACGGACATCAAAACTTAAAACAGTGTATTGAGTCTTTGTTTCATTAGGCTGCATTTTTTTGATCAGTTGGGTTCTCAAACATGGGGAACCTAATTTCCACTGCTGCTCAGCTTGGGCATGAATGTCACCACCCAGAACTCTCTTTCCAAATCTCCCTGCCTTCAACTGGTACTGCTACTCTAGCCCTGTGTACTTGACAAATTAGAAATTTTCAACCCAGGAGACACCACAGGGAACAGAAATGAAATTTCACCGACTAGGCTGTTAACTGGTTACAGAATTAAAAGTTTTGTTGTTGTCGTGTTCTTTAACAAACCAACCTCAGTCATAATTTTCACAAAGGCTTTTAGAGAACAGATATTAGTTGTACAGTGTGCAATAAAAGACATCCTTTTGTTTCTGTTATACAACACCAGTGACCATTAAATACTTGAAATTATTGCTATATTTTAAAAGGATATTTTTACTCCACTATACCATCCACAGCTACATCAGCTAAAAGTCCTGAACTTCCTGAGAACATCTGTGTGGAAATCACATGTCTGAACAAGAGGCTGCATGTATTACAAGCACCCCAACACTACCTGTTTCAAGTTTCTGTAGCTGTGACATGTGCACAATGTCTGTGTCTACAGAAAGCCTGCCTGGTGTTCTCTGTCCATGTTTTCAGAACTGGGTGCCAGCTGCACAAAATGACATCAATACTCATGAAGCTAAAGCAAAACCACTCTGAGATGTGGCATGGGCTCCATCTAGGGGAGCTCCACTTCATGCCACATCACTACACACCAGGGAGTGAGAAACACAACTGCAAGATATTCCAGTGTCTGGGGATTATGCCATCTCATGTGTTCACAATGACCTTTGAAAAGACTGATCCTCCTGATATATACTGTGATTACAAATATGAAGGTGTATCATTAAAATTGAGGGGTGGTTGGTAGGTGGGTTGTGAAACTTGACTGAGCATAATGCTAATTGCTTCTTTATTGTTTCTGGCAAACAGCTGCCCAACTGAAAAATCAAATATTCAGCACATAAATGTAAGCTTCAGATATGATACTCAACTTAAATACTAGGACTTTTACTTTTTTTGCAAGCTCAAAAGACTAGATGTCTTCTTTTGTTCTAGTTACTAGGTTTTAGTCTATATTTAACACTTAGCTTTTGAAGGATTAAAAGATTTCTATAGCCTTAAAATTTTTTAACATAAAGAAAATGTTTTAATTATTTCAGTATCCATTAACAGCTGACAAATTATTAGAACAAAGACAATACAAAAGAGGTCAAGATTTAGACCCATCTTATAAACAAAACTGGAAAAGATACATAGAATACTACAGTATCTAACAGCCTATTAATGTTTAAAGCCAAGAAAAAAAAAGATTTGTGTTGTTTTCAAAGCACCTGAACATTAATTTTATTTTACCCTCCTAGACAGCCAGCCTGACAGCATGCAAGACCTACCTCTGGGGTTGTCTTTCTAAACATGTCAGTTCCATGTATCACATCCCTTATTATTCTTTCTCTGAGGTTATCATACTCCTCTTCGGTGAGGTCACTATCCTCCAACTGATGGTTGCAAACTGGGCACTGTCCACTGTAATAGTAGTGAAACAAGAAAATAAAAGGATAAATTATTTTAAATAAAAAACACCTTAAATTTTACTAACTTATTGAATGCCTGTGTATAAGCCGGATTCTTTACAAGAATTCCGGCACCATACAATAATGATAAAATTAGCTGTACTCTTTCTGGGATGCATCTAAAACCTACTAAAGAAATATTTTTATGTGATTTGGTGGGACCAGGATCAAAGTTTTAAGTGTAGAGACATTCAAGGGTTTAGGGCTGAAGTAAGCAAATATTCACCACTATTTATTTAGGTGTTGAGAGGTCAGAGTAGAATTCTCAGCATTACTACAAATTTCCACACCTCTAATATTTGTAAGTTTCCCTACCACACTGGAAAGTCCCTCTGGATACATACAGCCCAGATCTCAAGGTGGGAAGGTCAAGCAGTTGCATTGGCCTGGCCAGAAGACACAAAGTAGCTGTTGGCATAGTGGTAGAAGCTAGGAGGTAGTCCAGGGAGCTTCTGCCGGGCCATGAATCCATTCTGAAGTGTTACAAGAAAATGCACCAGTGAAATGCTCCACTATTGTGCCAGTGACTGCTCCCACAAAAAACCCTAAATTATCCGTGCCTGGTTTACTAAGGTTTGGAATAACCAAATCTGCCATAGGTGTAGAAATAAGCCCTTGGAAAAGGAAAAAGTAACATAAATCTGCTGTTTGGCTGGAAAAGCAAATAATGAGCAAGAATACTTTCTTGTGCCACTAATCTTTTGCTGTCTGATTCCATCTTATTTCTAGGCTGTTTGTTCAGATCTTTCCAAAGTGGTCAAAGTGAGTAGACTGAGAGCAGATGTAACTGAAACAGAAATGCTGTTTGCTCCGAAAGCCCCCAGCAATACTAAGTCTTGCTGGCACTGCGTGTCTGTATGATGCCCAGTTCCACCAGAGATTTTCTAACACCAGGCTCTTGGCACCCAAAGAGAAAGCAGCTTGACATTGCTATCTCCTGGCAACTAATCAATTCTTGTTCCTTTACTGCTAAGAAACTTCAGTTCCTGCTCTACAGCATGGGCCAAATATCATCACATGTATCTAGGAAAAAAGCTCTGCAGCTACAGCCAACCAAAGCCATTGTTGAGGGTTCATTTCCCAGGGCCAGGAACACTGCTCCCACATGCACAGCTGGGTCAGTGACTGTACAGCAGCACTCGGGCAACCTCCTCCATCATTCACACCGCCCACTTCTCAGGACTCTCAGTTTCCGTGCTGCAGGGTCAGCACCTATAGAAACAATTGTGGTTCTGCAAATACCAAAGCATATGTTGTTTTATCTCTGACACACAAGAACTGTCCACTGATCTGTCTGTGCATGTTTTTAAAACTAAAAGACCAAAAAGACTGAAAATCCATCATAAAAGAAAAGATCCCAGAAAAGAACAATGGAGGATGTGAAAAAAACAGACCTGGAGTTCATTAATAACATCAAGAAGAGCGCTGACACATCGTAGAAGATCCTGAAAACGTTTCCAGAACCGCGTAAGTGAGGCAACACGACAGAGGACACCCAGATCCATGCCAGCCAATGGACACAACCTTTTGTGTAACCAAACTAATGCTGAAAAAAATTCCCCAGCACTGGGAAAGGTCATCAAAACAAACCACAACCACGAGAACCACATCAACTGCTATGAGTCGGGGTTTTGTCCTTACAGCCTGCTGGCACAACACGCACTTAATTCCAAGATGAAAAAAAGACATGCCTAACTTCCATGGCCACATCTGGATTTTTATATGATCCCTCAGAACTCTATCTTGAAAGAAAGAACAAACACCCTTTTTAATATCTAGCCTTTTCTGTTGTTTCATGTCCCACAGCCACAACCTCTGTGCTAACACATAACCTGAAGGAAATAAAACTGGAACTATCATCTCTTCCATGTCTCATTTGCTCATTCTTTTCTTTTCTAGTTGTCTCTCCCGTTAGCCCCTATAAATGAAACACATGATCAACACAACTCCATACCCAGGTCAAATATGCATGTCATGTATCACTGCTGTGAACCTTGGGGCCTACCACAAAACCAGCCTCTAAGGCAGTTAACAGTGGAGGACTGAGACAAAACAACCTGCGTTTGAATTGTGAAGGCATTAGCCTTTTTTTCCCCCCTAAAATCTTACCTGAAAGTTTTGCAGATACACTTTCTAAAGACAAACCAATGAGCTAGAAATAGACATAGATGTCATGGGTACATTTCTTGACCTGCATCTCTGAATGCCTTCTCTTCTCCAGGCTGAGCAACCCCAAGTCTCTCAGCCTGTGTTCACAGAAAATGTGCTCCAGCCCTCTGATTATTTTTGTGGCCCTCACTCCAAGAGGTCCATGCCCTTCTTACACTGAAGGCCCCAGAGCTGGACACTACTCCAGGTGAGGTCTCACCAGAGAGGAGTAGAGGGGGAGAATCACCTCACTCAACCTGCTGGTCACATTTCTTTTGATGCAGCCAAGAAACAGCCAGATAGGACATTAACATACACTAAGGAAAGTTACAGTCAGTCATGCCTGTTCTCAAGCACTTCTGCCAAGAATCTCAGATATGAGATCCAGCCTGCATCTTCACCACTAGACCGGGCAGTCCAGCCATGGTACCAAGAAAATCAGGACAATCCAGTGGCTTCTCCAAGAAGCGACAAAACGACGCTTAGTTGGAATGGAGCTTTGGTTTTCCTGGCTCACAAACAATGATTTTTTGGATGCTTGCTCCCACTTAAGCTTCCCTTACACGCAGGATATGTTGTTGACTTTTCACATTTTTCCTTTCTATCACTCTCTGTACAGAAGCCTATATTCAGCCTATATGCTGGGCATAGTTTGAACCGAAGGAGTAACCATTCTTTTCTAAATCCATCCGAATATCTTATTCTTACAAGCACAATATCAGAACTCAGCCATAGGATTTGGGCTTTAAGTGTTAAAATGGAACAAGTTCTTTTCCCCTGTCTCTTTCCACAGAGACCTCCTAGTGAGGCCAAAGCTAAGTCACTGTAATTTTCTAAAACCATGGCAATTAGAAATGTTAAATCCTCCCAACAATTAATGTATACATTAATGCACATACCATAAGACAAGACTGCATTAACTGCAATGCTGACAGGGTATTTATTGAATCAAGTCATGCATGGCATCCCAACAACGGACATTCACTGCTGCACACAAACGCACTCCTGTTGCTCAGCCCACTGCAGGCTTAGCTGATACATAAATGTAAGCAATCAGACTGGGTGCTCATATAGCTGTAAAGTTACCATGAAACACATCTATTTGCATCAAGGAACTTTAGAGTTTGGAAAGAGAAGAAAGGACTAGTGAACTGTTTTGAGACTATTACAGAATCGTTAAGCCCAAAATTTAAGGACCTCTCCCATAGATAACTTGGATCCATCTGCAACTACCACTTTCAGACTACCTGAAGCAAACAAACCTCCCTGTACCCCAACAAATCAACCCACCCCAACCACCTATCAACAGCCAAAGCTCCTGAAGCCAGTTTCTTCTTGTGAAGTCTTAATGTGGATTCCCAAAGAGAGCAGTGGCAAAACAGGCATCAGAAAAACTCAGCACCTTGCAAAACGGGGCCCTTAGTCTAACTGCTGCTTTCTATCAACCATACCTTTAAAAATACCTTGCAATTTTTGTAACTTCTCACTGATTGCTTTAAGGTTGCATGCCAAGAAACTCCCACACAGAAGACTTTCACCTTACAGCTAACTGACAATTTAACTACTTTTTTTTTGGAGGATTGTGAGGCATTGCTGTGGAGTATCATGTCATCTACATATCAAGCATGGCCAGATTTACTACAGTAATTTGAACGCAGGCTCAAAAAAACTGGAGCTGCAGCTTTTTATAGCTGACCTTGGGAATCCAAAGCTTTTATAACTCTCAAAGGAAAACGGTCATCAAACTTCAAGGTTTGTTTGCAGAGGGTTCAATCTCCTGACCATCACAGTTCAAAGAAACTAGGAGCTCAGAGCTAGAGGAAGAAGAAAATATCCTGGCTATGAGCACCTTTGACAAAACTGCCAGTATTTGAATAAAATCAGAATAACCTATGAATAAATGTATTAAATTGTTCTTTTGCTGACTGCTTCCCTCAGCATGAAAGACAAACCATTAGCAGAAGGCATACAGGCCAGATTTTACTACCCCATTCCAAATAATACAGAAAAGGTACAATGTGATACACAACAGGAGTAAACAAATCAAGATATTCACTCATGGTGCATGGTGTTACAGAAGGAGGAGTGAGCCGAGCCAGAAACCAAGTTATCAGCCCAACTCCAACCCTACTACAAGAATTGCCAGAGAAAGGCATCATTACAGCCATAAACTTCTTTCCATCTGGCTCTTGTCCCACCATCCTGGTACCTCTGCTTGTAGCAGAGTCAGGGAACCCTTCTGATAACTAGAACCCCTACATAGCACATCTACCATGTAAGCAGGCTTCCCCAATGCCCCTGCAAGCAGAATCAGCTCTTATGCTATTAACTTGCAGACGGGGCAAGATGTTAATGTCAAAGGCAGGAGCATCTGATGGTCATCTCCTATTTGGTTCCCACCCAAGGCTGTCCAGATCGTGGGTGAAAACCAATCAGGAGGGTCTTTCTTGCCTGGTTGGGGACATCATTCACATGCCAACCCTCATTCAGGGATGGGGTTTTAAACCAATTGTCCAACTTAGTTTAAGGGAAAATAGTTCTGTTTTTTTCTTAACTTAAGACTCATGTTTTAGGATGACAGTTAGGCTGAATAAACAGATGAGTCTAGCAACAATGACCAAGAGTTTCAGAGATACCTTGAGAGCTTTGCCCTTTATGATCAGCACACACCCCTCCCCCCCAAAAAAAAAACACCACAAAAAGCCAACAAATTTTTTTTTTTCTTTCTTAAATTCAAAGAATCTTTTCTGTCACCAGTCATGTAATTTAATCACTAAAAAGCTCTTGCATTCTGCTTCTTTTCTTGAAGCCAACTTGAATTTTATTCAAATACTTATCCAAGTAGTCTATCTCAATCTTATTTACTTCAAAATAAAAGGTTTTCATACAACTATCACAAGGTAAATATGATATAGCACCTTGTCAACACTTTGTTCACAGATTCTTAATCCATGATAAAATGTGAGCTGATCTAGCTTAGTTCAACACTCAAAGTCTGTAACAGAATTTACAGACAGCAAGATAACAAGCTACCTCTAACCATGACAATCGGCTTTAGTATTTTAAAACTCTAAAGGCTGAAAAAGACTGTCTAGAGTTTGGTGAATCATCATAATAAGGTAAAGCAACAAGCACACATTCATGCATAATAATAATAATTCATCTTCCAGTGAACAATCCCTGCTCTCAGGACAGTGAGTTATGCTCTTCTTTCATGGGCTTCAAAACCAGTGGACTCTTAAGTGTGCTTTTACTTCAGAATATGCAACACAGTGTATTTTCATAAACCACCAAAAATACCCAAAATCTACTGGAGACAGTCTTATAATTCACAACATTTATAGTTGCCAAATTGCTACAAAACCACAGAACTAGGTTGCAAATAGAATAATATTTAAAACAGAAATTTATAGATATTAAGAAAACTATGCTGTAATAGGGATTCACACAGATAACTGGTATGTGTTCCTAACACAAGAATCATTTTGCCTTCACTGACAATAGGGTGGGAAGGCAAAACCCTGCCATCTGTACAAGTTAACAGCAGCATGTGAATAGTATCAGTTCTCAAGAAGACATCCATTTACACACCTCAGCTGCTGTGCTACATATTGTGTTAAACAATAGTATCATAAAGGCAACAATAAAATCTGTCTTTAATTCCTAAACAGTAAACAGCCACCCAGTAAAATGGCAGCTCCTATTTTTCTGCATTTTTTTGTCTTGGCTCTGCTCAGTATAACTCCTTTTCCAAATGTGCGTGTTGGGTCTTGTTTAATGCACAAGAATGAGTTGGAAAGTGGAATTTGGGAAATTGTATCCACATAACAAAGGTTCATATTCTCAAGGATGAAAACATTTTCTTATATAAGAAAAGCTATTTTTGTGTATTTATGAAAGAGTTCAACATAGAATAATCACAACAACACCTCACTTTTAAACAGAATGTTGCATTTACCTGTCTTTAATGTTGGTCAGGTGTCCTCTCCAGTTCCCTCCTGGTATACTAATGCATACAGAGGGAAAGATAAATAAAAACATTAGTTTCTTATTTAACAATACCTGAACTATAGATAAAGAATTACTTTTTGGTCAACATTTAGAAATAAAAGACCAATCAATCATCTACCCTGCAAAGAAATCATACCGAGATTTATATATAATTTAGCAATGTCTGAAAATATTACATGAAGAACCAGTATTTAACAACACCCAAAGTACTAAAGCCATCAAAATACCCAGTTTACATTGTCCTCCAATAGTAAGAGCCATACAAATAACCAGGCTGCACTTACAATTTTTGAGCTGCTGCCCTACACATTCACAAAGCACTTCAGAAAAGAGATAGGAAAGCATGCATACAAGTTTTGATTCCTATGTCATCCTGAGAGATTAAGGAAGATATGCTCATACCAAAATGTTGCACAGAGACTTTTTGCCTCCATATCATTGTCACCATCACCACCATGACCACAGCCACCGTTGTGCTGGTGTAAATATTCCTTTTTGCCCACAAGTTCCAAAACTGAATAGGAACACTCTTGCCAACATGCAACTGCAGACACCTCTCCCTTTGCCACTGTGTTTATTGTCATAAGCTGCACAACCACACATGCCCCGGGCTTTGGAATAACCATCCTGCTTCTGCCCTCCTGTCCCACCTCTCACACCGATACGTCACGGTGCCTTAGTTTCCTTACAGGAACAACAGGCAACAGAAAATACTGTGATGCACACTCAGATCTCTGCATTGGATCTGGCTTCACCCACTACCACAAGTCAGTGCTGGTCTGCTCTTCAGAAAGGTAATTTTTTTAAAACACCTATTCAGTTCCACTCACAGAGCTCACTGTGCTTACAGTACCATTGGTTTCCTTTGTCAGCAGAAGCTACCTCCCAATGTGCATGGCTTCTGCAAGACTAACAGTGCTGGAAGTTATCAGGTTCTCTTTCTGTTTGGGAACTCCACCTAAACTGTGTGTTGACTTTCAAGTTTAGCACTCACAACTGCAACAGACAGGTAAAATGGAGTATTTTGAACATGTTCAAAGATAAAAAGCCAGATGGGATAACCAACCAGCTAGTTTCATCCCTCTGTTATGGGCTTCGCCTCTTCTTCACGTTTGAGACACTACTTCCTTTAGGAAAACACCCAGCATTGATTGTAAAACATGAGTCTACCACAATCTTTCAGGAATTGTTCTAACAGACACAGTATTAAAGATACAAAAAGGAATTTGTTGTGGTTCAACTTGCAGCACTGGTTTGTCACTATGTATAGGCAATACACAGATCTTCAACGTACTCGCCACCCCTGCAGGCTCCTTGCTAAGGACTTACTACACTGAGTTTCCTGTGTGTGCAGCACACACCTACAGGTAAATCCTTCTCTGCTCTCTGGGAAAACAGCACACCTTGACAGATTTTCACTCACTAAACTGGTTCACCTTGACTGAAGCCTGTTCTGTCTGCTCCCTAGCTCTTCCCAAGAAAGCAAATCACTAGGGCACAGCCGGATAAACCACTCTAACAGCAGTAGTGTATCCCCACAGCTGTATTTTCCAGCCAGGAAGACTAACTTGTAAAAGGGCCATGGACTTCACACAAACCCAAGCCAACAGCTGAAATCAAGTCACAGATGGGCTCACGTACAAGAGCGTGACAAACAGGCAGTGAGCTTGGATGAACTACACTGTCCACGCAGTGTTAGCTATCTGTGATTTGCAGAGTCCAACTGTCACTACTCCTGACAACACACGGCACGGGCTGCTAAACACTGTGCTAAACCACAGCTTATTCTTCTCCTGTTATTCTATACAAAGTCAACATTTAATCTTCACTTAACCTAAATTTGCTGCCTCTTTCCTTTAAAGAGAGAAACTATCTAATTTTCAAATAACTTACTACTTCTACACTCGTGCTGATTATAGGAAGCCCCCATATCTGTCAATGTTCCTTGCATACCAACCCCAGAAAGAGATGAAGTTGGGTATTTTGAACAGCCATGACCCATCAGAACTTCCTTTCTGTACCAAGGAAAAATTAACAGGTAAAATCTTTCAAGAAAAGGCAAAATCAGTAAGAATTTTACACTAATTTGGGAGCAAAAATATTTTCTTTCCATGACAGTGTGTCTCTCGTGGGGAATCAACAATCACAATGAAATGTTGAGGGACCTCATCAGACTTGACCTGTGGAATAATGTGAATCCCATCCTCATGAACTTGCCTGCTACTGAAACATTATTTACCTTTCAAACCATAGCTTTATACTCCGCATAAATGTTTTGTGAGGGTATATTTGGTTCTCTCTCAAATATAAGAGCATACCAAACAGCTCTTTTTGCAACTCAGCATCTTTCATACCCCTGCAGGAGTCAAAAAAGGTCTGCAGGACATCCAAGGTTGGCACCAAATCCTTAGCCAACATTTCATGGTAAAGTTCAAATGCAAGCTTCATTTCTTGGTGACGGGTGGCTGCTTTGATACAGGATTCATAGTTTGTCCGTGAGGGAATCATAATCTTTTTTACTTCTTCCAAAAGAGTCAAGGCCATTCTCCATTGATCTGAATTACTAAGCCCCCTGATAAGAAGGTTGTAAGCGCCACTTTCTAAAATCTTAAATCTCATTTTCATTATGTTATATACATCACGAATTTCTGAAGTCTGCCCCTGCTGGACACATAATGCCAGATATTTGACCAACAAGTTATATGCAATGTCACCATTGCTCTTTGCCACGTGGGTCAGCAAGGACTTGGCCACATCAACGGGGCTGTTGTACCTGACCATACTGTTAAACATCACTTCTTCAAACACTGCAGGTGATTCAAAGCTTTTCTTCAGTCTGTTCCATTCCTCAGCCTGCAAAGGTTTTTCTGGAGGCTGTACACTGGTAAATTTATGCCTTGACAGAACTTTACCCGGCAACAGTTTCTTTGGAGCTCCAGCAGAGGAAGACAAGTGGAACTTCCCTTCAGGTGCTTCTTTAGTCTCCTCACCCCATCCTTTTTCATTATCAACTTTACACCTTTTCTTTGTAGGAAAAACATCAGTTCCTTCAGGCTCTACTGGTAATGCAGTGCTGGAAGATGTCATAAAACTTAAACAGCCAACCTTTTCCCTGCTGGGCATGCTGAAAGAGACAGGGAACAGTTGCTGGCACCTTGGAAGAGGCCAAAATATGCGACATTTCCATAGCAAAGCCTGAAACCCCTGTTGACTAGTTTGAGAAAACAGTGCCATCACAAGAAGAAATTATCTCACTGTGTCTAACAAAGTTATAAAATGGAAAATGCAGTTTGCATAGGGACGTTTATCATAAAAGCTCACGGGATGTTAAGCTGCATAAACTTCAATTTCAAAATGCTTGTTCTACGAGTCCTTTTTGAGTCTCACGCAAACACAAAACGATACCATCTTTTTTTCACAAAAATCAACCTCTTTGCCTGTGAGACCATTCATCCAAAATGAAGGTATCTTTCTAGAGACGACACTGTGCAGGTTTGCAGCTTATAAGTTCTGGTTGTTGGTTACAGTGAAGGTGAGCACTGAGCACGTTGTACACAGACAGGCAATGCCAATGCAGCTCAACCAAAAGCATGGGGTTTTTCCTTCCTATCTTCATCCAAGTCGAGTCGGAAAGTTTCCTAAAAACAAAACCAGCATGGCAACATCACAACCTGCTCCACATTTTCCTGTCATATTTACACTTGCATGCTAGCAAACACAAAGTTCAAAGCACCTCGACAGTTTCAGGCCAAGAACCTTAGTCAGCCTCAGAGCAGACTCAGGCAGTCCCAGCACGGGGTTCCGACATGGGTTCCCTCCCGCCTTAAAACCTGTGACAAAACTCGGCTTCACTGCCGTCCCAATCTGAAGCTGCTGGCAAGGCCGCTGCCAGCGAGGCGGCGTGACACCGCCGGCCCTACGCGGGGCTTACGCTACGGACGCAGGCACTGCGGCTCACCAAGGGGCCCCGCTCCGCTCCGCTCCGCTCCGCACCCTACCACAGGC